TGATTTTATTAAAGGTACAATGGCTGAAAACAATTAGGACAAAATGAGGCCCGGTCGTGTGTTCCAACTCGCGTCTCTATGACTTAAGAGGGCCAGGGGTAGGCCCACGGGGCCAAAAATCGATGCTACCTTGTTTGATGGTTCACAAGGCCGAGGTTTACAACCTTCTGCTTCTACTTTCCGAAGTCGCCTGTCTCAGGCATTTACTTCACAGGGCCATGTGTCCCCTGCTTATGAAACCCCTGAAGCTAATGAAGCTAATCAAGAGGAACTCATTGTCGCTACTAATGGGGACGTCATTTCATTATACTCTGGATGACTGGCTTGTGGGCCAGGTCTAATGTAAGCGTATATGCCCGAGCCAGTGATACGCCATATTGAAGTATTTGTAGGTTATTTTGAGACACCGTTCAAAGTCTGCTCCTCCTAACATCAACTGTAGAGATCTTGATGCCATACTGCTTGAGGATCTCAATAGTCATATGGTACTAGAGGACAACGTACTTATGTAGACGATTACATCACATAGTTTCTATAGGGTGTCACATTCTATCATGACATTGGACACTCCTGAAAGACCACATAAGCCATCTAATCAGGAGATACTAGAGGTTAGAGATGACCACACTCAAGACATGTTGTCGATCCATCAAGGTATTATGGATATCGCGAGATTGGCATAATGGTTGGACTTTTTGAGGAAGACAATATCTAATTGGCCCTCGTATAAGGCATTATTTTTTAGGCATGAAATGCCTTGGAGTATAGACGAAGGAAAAATAAGGGGTTAGACATAACCAATAGTTTATGTTTGTTTGTACTATTTTTTGTATTTTCTAAACAAATTATGTATGGCCGATACACGATTTCAACAGCTTAAAATGAATTCAGGAGGATTTATAGAGAAGCATCTTTGAATTCATCCTGAAAATTTTATAGATATACATATTCGGACTAAATTTTGTCAAAAATAAAATGTGTAGATGAGTTACGAGGGCTGATATAATTTTATATACGTTCGGAGATACATCTCTAAATAATAAAGATATTTTAAGATTTTTCGAGGTTTGTGACGCCCTCCATAGAATAGAATGAGTATTTCCCTATCTCAATCACACCGTTTAAGAATATTACTCAACTTCATTCCACTTTTTGAAATGATAAAACAATTGTATTTTTGGTTTTTATTAATACAAGTTCATATTAAAAACACTTAATTTTTTGTAATTTTTAGAATTAATTAAAATAATCAAAATTTAAGTCATAATTGTTCGTTTAAATTTTATCTTGCATAAATTAAAAATGTGACCAAAAGTTAAAAGTAAGAACATTTGTTTCGTATGAAAATTAGAGATAGATAATATTCGAGATAATTTGAATTTAATGTGGTGTAGTGAGCATCCATTACGGGGATGATAAATCTAGAACATTAACATATAAACACCTAAATTACTAAATAAATGAGAAAGTAATATATGAATAAATGAAAATTTAAAATGAGACACATTATTCTTTATATAAGACAGATAATTAAAACCATCTCCATTAAAATATAAACAGCTCTTCAATTCAAATCCCTCTTTTTTAATTTTATTTTATTTACATTCGGGTAGAGTAACAAATGAAATTGAAGAATTTACCAAAATATCAATCAAATTTGAAGAGAATATCTTCATTTTCTCTACCTAAACTTTATGTTTATCCAATGGAATAAGTTACATGCATTTGTTAGTAACTTAATAGCAATGAAAATGACTTAAAACTAAAAGTCAAACGTTTTATATTCATCATGACAACCAAAAAGAGAAACCATGACATAATTGTCTATTCTCATTTCTCTATCTAATTGAAATTGTTTAAGCTATAAATTGCAACTTAACTACTTTTAAGTGTTTAGGGTTATTTCAACTACATATTATTGAATGTTTTACGTGTACAATTTACTTTTTAATTTCTATTTTTGGTGTAAAAAATAGGAAAGAAGAAAGATAATTTTTTTGGAATTCTTCTTATTTTGGTATGAAGTTTCCCTCAGCACATGAAATGTCAACAATAGAAAAATATAACTAGGCTTAAATTTACAAGGGTAAAGTTTTTCTTAAAATTTTTTAAATTTATTTATTTTGATTTAATTGAATTTTCTTTCATAAAAAAAAATTACTATTGAAAAAGACAGATTCCATATAAAAAAAAAGTAATTTGAGTAAAATAAAAAAAGGTGTTGTATACTTATCAATGATGATGATTATTAATTTTGTTTCATCCGTTTCTAGCAAAAAAATTGATTAGCTAACTAAAATAATAATATTAGTTTCTAATACATTTTGCAATAGAATTTGAGACAAATTTGATTTTTTTTTTTATCTTAATTTTTTATACTCAGAACCCGCACAACAAGTTTAGAGGTTTGGGGCAAAAATTAATATAAATTTTTTAAATTCTAATAATTTTTTCAAATTTAATTAATTTTTATAATGTTAAACAAAAAAAAAATACTATTGCCAAATTTAATAAATAAACCAAAATTATCTTTGAGATAATAGTAAGATCATAAAACACAATATCATAATTTAAATTAAAAAATTCTGCAAAATTATTTTTATAAAATCGAGTTAAACCTATAATAATTGTAATAATTATAAAATATTACCAATACAAAAGGTATTATTATTATATTTGAAGTCTTTCTATATGATATTTTAATAGGAAAAAGTATTTATGAGAAAATGGCTTCAAAGCTATACAATAATTATGCGCGCCTCGACATCTTATCATCCTTCTCGGTTTATAATAGTTCAAAGCTATACAATAATTATGCGCGTCTCGACATCTTATCATCCTTCTCGGTTTATAATAGTGTTAATCAAAAAGCTGTCAATCATGACCAGAATTAGCAAAATCGCACATAATCATAAATTGTTTTACAATCTTTTTTACAATTTGACTACAACGAAATTGTCGGAGTTGATTGGAAATCGCACATAATCATAAATTGTTTTATGATTTTTTTACAATTTGACTACAACGGAATTGTCGGAGGTGATTGGAAATGAAAAGTGGTCGACCATGACCGAAATTAGCAAAATTGCACATAATCAATTGTTTCACAATCTTTTTTACAATTTGACTACAGAAATTACAAAAATGTAAGATTTTAAGAATTATATTGTGATTTTGAGAATCTTAATTATTATTATACTGAAATAAATAATCTGAACATCCAAAAACTGAAGTTAGAAATGAACTATTCAATCAACGAGATGTATCTTCTACCTTAACATTGAAATTATTGGAGAAAAAATAACAGAATGGCTGCAGAGTGCAATTGAAAAACAGGTGAATATGCTAAGCTAGATTGGCTGGTTCACATTGGCTCATACTGCGAGAGAGGTTGTGGCTTCAACTCCTGCTACCACCGTGATTTGTAGTATCTTTATAAGCCCTCTCTGAACCTTGAGGCCTACCCGACCCTGGTGAGAGCTCGGAGTCTAACTCGCTAAAACTTTCTTATAAAAAATACAGACGAATATTGCAAGTTTTCAAGGAATAACTTAAATAAGAAGATATCACTTTTCAACCAAAGTTTCAGGAAAAAAAAATGCAGACGGTTTCCTTCAAATTTGATCAATGTTGTCAATCGTGAATCGTAAAAGACAGAAAATAAGAGTTCTAATGCTATAGCGCAATTTGACAACACTGTACTAAATCGCATATCACGAATGTTAAAATGTTCTACGCGATATAACATCTATTTGACAACACACTGAATTTGATGATTACTTCAACAAGTGAGAAAGAATGGGAGCATCTTAAATTGACAATAAACTATCAAGTGTGTGCATATTGCCCAATCTAAACCATCGTCTTCTTCACAACCAAAAATCAAACATTTGGCTGAGTTTCTGCGATATCGAAGATCGTGATACTACTATAACCTCGGATTTCATAGTGGGAAAGACGTGTTGAAAGTACTCAAGGGTACCATTAGTCCATAAACATGGAGCAGATACAAACAACAACAACAACCAAGCTTTATCGCACTAAGTAGAGTCAGCTACATTAATCAACTTTCGCCATAATATTCTATTCAGAACCATGCTTTTACATGAAGAAGCAGATAAGCAACACATTACAGATGAAAACATTAATCAATAACAAGACAACAATAATCTTCAAAGTAGTCACCTAATTGTTGTCATCACAATAGAATTCAATTTTCACACAAAAGAAATCAAATATTTACCTCCAAAAGAGACGCCATGTACTCGAGCAATCCGCTCCGTGGTTAACACCTCAGGCAACCTCTCCGATACGCGTCTGCCTACAACTGACTGAAAAAAGGTTGTTCAAGTTTTACAACACTCTTACAAGATCGAAACAAACTCGACAAGGTTCCCATGCAACATAGCAACACAAAAAGTTAAGCCACGTTATAAGCCATTTCTATAACAAAAAGCAAAATAAAGTTGAACCATTCAACTTAAAAAAATGAGCTGAAAACAGCTTATGAATGTGTTATAAATCGTTTCAATAAGCTCTTCCAAACACTCTCGCAAGTGCTTATACCATTATACCAGTATATAAACTCAGATAAGTCAATCTAAACATGTCTTTCATCCATTTTAAACCTGCAACTTATATCAAAATCATGAACTTAAATCCTAGGCAATTATCACAAAAAAACATGATAGAATTCAGAAACCAAGAGCAGAAATTGTCGAAAATCATAAGCCTTGAATTCTAAACAAGTAAATTCAAATTAATGTTTTTATGTATATTCTCAAGTATATAACCAACTAACTTTGTATGAAACATACTTCCTTACAACTTATTACCAAATGGCTTATTTAAAAACATCCAAATTCCTCATAGAATGAGAAAATCAGAACCAGACAGATTACAGATTCTATATTGAAATCAATTATCCATTTCTTCAATCCTTCTTTCCTCCCTATAAATCAAAAGGCTACCGTTCTGTCGCTGCGATGATGTTGTTGCGCCTACTTCTTGATCTTTCGATGTTTCTTCGGTCCCGGAACTTCTAACCTACCAACAGAACAACCACACCTAGCTCTCAGCACAAGCACAGCTCTCCCATTAATCGGAGCCATCTTCTTAAGCTCCGCTTCAAGTTCCTTATGATGATCGCGAGGCAATTCAAATAAACCCTTCTTACAAACACCGATATCTTTCCCAAAAGAAGGCGAATTCTTCACACAATCCTCGGTTTCTAATTGAATATCAAACTCTGCAGCTTTCTTCAAACCCTTACAATTTCGATTACCGCATTTGTTAGTTGTGCAAACAACAACACCCCAAGTAGCAAACACAGCACAAGCAACACTCAATCCTATAGATATATAAATCGAAGGCGCAATCGAAAACTCTTCCTTAATCAAAACCAACACTATGCTTGTAATCTGAATTGAATTGATCACTAAAAATTCTATGTAGGGGAAGAACAAATAGCCACAAGATAAAACAACAGCAATGAAGATTACAACATCAACTATAGCTGATCTAGATCGATCACAAGGCGGAATCTGAAGAGAATTCGATGATGAACTATTATAATTCCTCCGATTCCTTTGAAAGTTATTGCTTTGCCTGGATTTCGAACCGAATTTTGAACCGAAATCGATCGAATTCGCCATGGATGGATTTGGTGGTTGATCAACTGACTTACAAAGAGAGATTGAGCTATGGAAATAGACCATTTCAAAAACACCGCAAAACTAAAAGAAAATCTCGAAAAATCGAATTTTGAGATCAAACCCACCAATAATTAACCGAGATTCAAACGACCCAGAATCCAAAATCTCGAAAAGATTGTAACTTTGAAGTGATCTAAGCACGAAAAATATCAAAATCTGTCGGTGCCCAGATGGATCAAAATTCACAAAATGAGATTTTCTTCTTCTTGTTCGAATTTAAATTCGATATGCGATGAGATGATGATCCAATCAAATAGAGATAAACAAGATTGAGAAGTCGAAGAGATGAAAAATTAGTGTGATGGAAATGGGTTTTAGGGGTTGAAAAGTGAGTTGATGAAGAAGCTAAGAAGACAAAGAAGGGTCATCATTCACTAATTTATTATCATCATATCATATCATATCATATGATGATAATAATTATATTCATATTATAATATGAAATGAAATCTCAAAATGTTTATTTGTAAACTTTTTATAGTGTCATAGTTAAGTTACATACACGCCAACATAAGAGAAAAATGAAAAAGTACTTCTACAAGGACACGTTTTTGAGAAGAAATTCTAGTGGACTATAGGATGGATGTAGAATGGGCTTGGATTCATCTTTTTCATTGGCATCTTCCAATTATACCTGACACTTCCTATTCTTTTAAATTGTCAAAACTGTCTCTAGTTAAAAATTAAATGAAATATTCCATTCAAACTTTTATTAGGAAAAACTAAATTTTTGGTATGGAGTAAAATTTTTGGTAGTGTATTGTAAATTTTCAGTATATTAAAAATTTTAAATTTTCAATATGTTTCAATAAATTTAGGAAATTTCAAATTTAAGAGTTGATATCGAAAATTTTAATCTAAGTGAAATTTTTTATAGTGTTATTTGTTTAAAATTTTAAACACTCAGGATTTTGTCGACAGTTTTGTATAGTCCAAAGTAAATATAAAGTTGTATAAATAGGAAGGTCACCTATTTTTTGATAAAAACATCTCAAAAAAGGCATCTTTCTCAATTTTTTATTAAGGCAGAAGTTTACTTCAACGGAGATTCACCTCCCGTAGAGTTCCGACTTCCAGATGACACCACTTCTCTCATCGGCCTGACGTCCAAGTTGAGTGAATTGTTGTCTGATACCGAAAATAAAAAGGTGAGAATGACTGAGTTTCGTGAAGATTAGATTGATACTGATGGGAGGGTGAAATATAAACTTATTGAGTTCAAGACCGATGAAGATGTGAGAAATATGTGAAGATCATTTCGTCGTAGGATAACAAATGGGCCGATCAAGTTAGATGCTAAGATTTCAAGGTTCACCGACGACATAATTAAGATGATGAAACATCCATAATCATCTGGTTGTGTCTAAGTTTTCTAATTTATTATCGTTTTTTAAAGTTATGATTAAGTTATGTAATCAATTGTCAAATGTTAGTTAGTGTTGATGTTGCATCGGGAAGATCAAAAAATATTATCTAATAAAAAGTTATGAAGAAAATGTCTGAGTAATATACAAATAATACATAATAGATCAAATCTATGATATACAAAAGATGTTTAAATAGGCCCCCACAGGCTATGTGTGCAGCTGAGATAATCCAGTACAAACCTTGCCATCTGTGTTTAGCATACCCATGAAATGAAGATGTCTCCTTGTTCCATCCACTATTACGAAAAAGCCATATGACAACGGTTGGAAAAGAGATATCACAATGCCTGACCATCCGTTGTGAGATAAGTGGTGATGATATGTCCGATGCTTTCCACCACGGACGCGAGACCGTGATAGTAAGGCAGGATGCGCGCTACCTACCACAACGATTACTAGTATGAATCATTGTGGTATATACATTTATGAAAATAAAATTTAATCACGGTTAAACTAAATAACCGTTGTTGAAAGTACCCATGTTTATTATAAAATATGTAGATTGCTTGTTTTTCAATAAACCTCACAAAAACGTACAACCATTCAAATTGACGAAGAGCTATATAATCTGAAAATTAAACTATTCTTGAAAACCAACTTTCACAAACCACTGTTTTCCAAATTGCATGCATCGCATCATTCATTTCCTGCTCTTTAACATATAGAATGTGGTTCACTAGTCTAATTCCTTCATGACATCAATTCTTTCTATTCTAGTTTAATTAGAATAATATCAATAAATTATTGTTATTCAAATTAAACTATAAGATAAGATATGGATGTGATGAAGGAATCAGGTCATTGACCCACATTCTATATGTTAAACAGCGTCAGATGAATGATGAGACTAATGCAATTCGGAAAATATTGATTGATATAAGTTGGTTTTCAAATACAACTTATTTTTCATATTATAAGTTTATATGTCAATTTAAATGAAAAGTATTTTCAGTGAAGGTTTAGTGAAACTAACAATCTACATAGCATATAATAAACTCAATTCCATCTACATAGCATATAAGAATTTAAAGAACAAAACATTGTTAAGTCACAAGAAGCTTCTTTCTTGTGACTTAGCAATGTTTTTTTCTTGTTCTAAAAACATTAATCAACAAAAACAATATACAACACCATTTATCAACAAGAACAAAACATTTATCAATGTTTTCATAATAAGAACAAAGCATTGCTAAGTCACAAGAAGCTTCTTTCTTGTGACTTAGCAATGTTTTGTTCTTGTTCTGAAAACATTAATCAACAACAACAACATTATCAATAACACAACAAAATACAAAATAAAAGTAACAACAAGAATAACATACAACAACATAAGATATTATGTAATGTTTCAAGAACGCACCTTTTTTAAAACTAATAGTGGATCTGGAACAAATTATGAAGTTCATCTAGTTTATGAAGCTATGAAGAAGGAGTACAAGATGAATGAAGTTTACACAATAGATTCATACTTCTTATATTTTTTTCATAGCTACACAAACCATATGTATCATAGCCAAAGTATGCGCTTTGCTAACGTGGTAAAAACGAATCTGAAAAAATGAGAACCCATTTTTAACAATAAACGTAAATGAAATCGAAGCATAAGTTTAATGAATAAACCTCAAGATAGCGATTGGTGAAGAAGAATCTTAAGGTTGAAGTATATTTAAAGAGTAAAATGGATGTTAGGGTTATGGTATTGTCGTAACCCAAAATTTGACCTCCCCTTTTGCCTTTTTGCATAAGCATCTGCACTTGCCTTCCCATCATGTGCATTACCATTTTTATTTGTGGATTCATTGCAGGTACGTGTTCAAATCTTCACAGGATCTCGAGATTATGATCATATCCTTCGAAGAGTCATCAAAGCATCACTACAAGCAAAATATAAGGATTTCTATGCCTATTTATCAAAGCAAGGAGTCGAAATACAGAACCACGACCATATCACATCATTGCAAGCCAAAATAGTAAAACTTTTCCTGTGTTAATTGATTAACACAATATGGTTAATCGATTACACCTGCAAGTTTTGCAGATTTTCATCAATTCTCAGCACTACAACAATTGCTACACTTCTCTTTTGGTCTATATCATTCTCGCATCTTATGGAAGGTTCTAGAGATGCGATTACACTAGAAAATATTAACTACATTAGCTACATTACCTCACTTTCAATATTTCTCACCATGCACCCTCATTTCCAAGCATTTGGACCATTTGATCAATTGAGTTCCATTGGGATTCTCCAACTGAGTTAACCAATAACTAATTGAGTTAGACCCCAACTCAGTGAGTTGGGTCTAACTAACTTTAAACCAAATGCAAAACCTAATTTTAAGCCTAATCCACTCCAAACCTAGACTCTATATAAGAAAACCCTCAAATTGATGCAAAGGATCATTATTCATGCCTTCACTTTCATTTTGAATTTTTCACTCTTCACTCTTAATTTTCTCTGCATTTTCTGCAACTTTCTCTCTCAATCATCTCCACCTTCTTTCCCAAGCCTCACTAGAGCTCATTCCACCTTAAAGCTTAGCAAGCTTCACAATTAAACTTGTTATTCTTTGAGTTAGACCTTCATTCCTCTTCATTTCACTTCTGAATTCTGCAGTAACATCATCATTTACTTCAATTCAAGCTTTGGAAGTTGATCATTGAAAGGTTTTTGGTGCAAATTCAGATCTGACACAATTATCGCATTATCTTCGATTTTCTCCCTACAGATTGATAGGGATCTTGGTATTTTATGGTTTTCTAAGCTCCCCCTCTTCATATTTTTCTTACAAATATTACCAAGGCAAACCTCAGCCTTGTAGGTTGGTGAATCTTGCTTAATTTATCGCTTTTAATCGATTTCACTTTTTTTTGCAATGTAGTGCTTAATTGTTGCTTTTCTACTTGAATGATTGATTTACATGTTTGATTTTTTTAGTGCTCAATTGCTTTGAATTAATGTGAATTTTGCATCTACTATTATATTATGATCCATTGCGATTGCATGCGATAAGTGATTTCAAAAAGTGCTTTTTGAAATTCTATTTCTGCTATTTTTACAGTGGTAACCGATTACACCCCTTGTTGTGCCTCAGAATTAGTCTTTTGGCATTGTGTAATCGATTAACAGCAGGATGTTAATCGATTACACCTGACAATTTTTGCAAAAGTCTTGCTGTTTGGGACTTTTTGGCATGTTTTCTTGTATTTCTTCCCATGCTTGCATATATTCATGTCAATGCTATTGTTTTAGGTCAGTACTTACTTGAAACAACTCTTGCTTGATTAATTGCATGGTTTTCCTTGATTATTCTGCAATTTTATCACATGTTCAAAGCACTTTTTGCACACTTTTTGCTTATGTGTTAACATGATTATGCTTAGTAATGCATGCTAGCTTGTTCTTATTAATGCTTTTCAATTTCAATTTGATGCATTCGATTTTTTCTTCTTTGAGCAAATTTAATCTTGTCCGATATTATTTCTCCCACTTGCTTTGACAATCTTTTGACTCACTTGAAAATTTATTGGCATGTTCTTTCCTTTGATTGATTGATTGAAACCTCGTTTCAATTA